GTATCAGTTTATTGCTCTACAAGGTTACTATGGAGAAGGTTGTTAATATGTTTTAAAATAACATCCAATAAAAAGGTCATCAAAAGTTTGTTGTTTATGTTTGATAAACATATATTGCATTTTCAATGTATGGTAGTGTGTGACTGTCAAACAGAGAAGATTAAATGACAGAGAAGATTATCGCAAAAGAAAAGAAAGAGATACACAAAAGGTGCAACGGTGACAAGAAGTCCACCAAACCACAATCATTAAATGGAAAATACAAATCATTTCTGCATTGGCATCAGGCACTTAACCAAGGACTTGGCAACTACTTTCATGAAGTGAACATATGCATAGTTATGTAAAACACAGAGAAAAGAATGGTGGTGTTGGGTGGGGGTGGGATTTAGAACAATTAAAGATTGGTTTGAATAAACTAGAGTGCTCCTAAAGGCATAGACATTAAAGACTGCAAACTTTAACAGTGGATGGTCAAAAGAACAAAACAATTTCAGCAAACCAGTCCTAATTGACAATTTTTTCAGTAAGCTATTTGTGACACATTGCTCTTTAAGAAATTAGCAATGATAGAGGAAATATCACAGTGGCATTAACAATACCATTTCTAAAAGAAGTAGCATGAGCCAATAGAGGAAATAGATCAAAAATGGTTGTCAATTCCCTTTGGAAGTTCCCTTTTGTTACAAGTCCAGTCGTAAATTTCTCAAATGGCACCAAACAACCCACAAGGAACATATATTATCTACTATAGGAACCTAATCAAAGTACAATAAAGCATGAAGTCATGGACACTGTCAATGTTCCCAACATTCTAAAGTCTACAATTGTTCTCATTAAAAAGGGGATGTTGCACGGCAAATGCATAGGACACCATTCTATATTTCAATAGAAATTGACAAAGGTATAGTCCTCATAAAGACTTCAAAGTTCAAACCCAGCTAAAAAACAATAGACAGAGTAACAAACCCAAATAAATTAAATTATGTTGCACTATTAATAATCACTTCATTCAAGCACATAACACAAAATTCCCAAAATCAAATAATTGAAACAAGAAACTGAACCAAAAAAAAAAGAAAAAAAAAAGAGCAAACAAGATAATGAACTGAATATGAGAGAGAGAGAGAGAGAACCATGGAGGAGGACTGAATTTGTGGGTCAAGCTGATGGGTTTTGATCTGTGGAGCTGAAGAAGAGTCTCTGCCCAAATCAAGGGCTGGCCATATGTCTCTGTACAGAGACTCCCACACACAATCCGACCCACACAGCTCGCGCCAAAACCACGAGCAACTACCCAACGAACACATCTGATAGCTTGAAATTCCAAAAAAAAACAAAATCATCACATTCAAATAACAATAAAAACAAAAAAACAATTTGCAGGAAAGAAACCTGAAGGGAAGAGGCGATTTTGAGGGCAATATCGTCTGGGAGACGACTTTGCAAAGCTGTCTATTTCGCCTCTCCAATTCCAAAAAAAAAAACAAGTTTGCAAAGCTACACACCTTTTCTTCACTTTCTTCTTGCACCTCCATCTCTAAACGCTCGCCTCTCATCTCTTCTCTTCCTCACTCGCCGGCAGCAGTCGTGGCTACAACCGTTAGTTCAATCGTGGAAAATGAGTGGCAAACGGCCATGGCTTCGATCTCCACAGCTTGGAGCCTGGATACCCTCTTAGTCAGATCTTCTCGAATTCGGCGGAGCCGTAAGAATTAGGGATTTTTGGTTGAAGGGGATTTTTGGTTTTTCAGATTGAGGATTTTGGTTCAAGACATGGGAAGGGGGGGAAGCCGAGCGGGAATGGAAAAAAGGGGGGTGGGAAATCGAGCGGGAATATATATATCGACAATGTTACGTACCTCAAATTTTGTGGCTCAAAAGTGGCTCAAATGGCCAAAACGACGTCGTTTTGAGTACAGAACAACATAAAAATGGCCAAAATGACGTCGTTTTGGCCATTTGAGCCACTTTTGAGCCACAAAATTTGAGCTACGAGACATTTTCCTATATATATATATATTTTTTGGTAATATTTAAACAACAAAATGGCTCTTTTTTATAAAAAAAAAAATTATTTTTTGTTAAAATAATTTTTTTTTTATAGTTAATGAATTTTTTTTTATTCTCTTTTTTTTAGTTATTAAGGTTGAAAATTTATTTGTTTCATTTTTATTTTAATGAATAAAAAAAATTCTTATTTTTTTACTTTGGTAGAAGTAGGGGTAATATTTTAATGAAAAATATTTTCCATAAATTTTATAAATTAGTTTTTGTTTATTTTTAGAAAAATATATATTACAAACGCGTTTAGTTTGAACAAAATGTTTAAAAAAATTTAAAAATATAAACATGTTTGTCTAGGCCTAAAATATTTTATTATTTATGACGATGGGATCATACACATTATAATTGAAAAAATAATAATTGGAAAAAAAATATTTGAAAAGAGATGAGAGAAATAGAGAAAAGAGATGAGTGAAAGAGAGAGAGAGAAGAGAAATGAGCGAAAGAGAGAGACAGAGAGGTGGAGTTGTGATGGCGAAACTGGTGGTAGTGGTAGTGGTAGTGGAGTGGTAATGGCGAATGAGATTAGTGGTGAAGTTGTGGTAGTGGTAGAGGAGATGGAGTGGCGGTGGTAGAGGAGATGTAATAGTAGTAATAGTGGTGGTAGTGGTAGTGGTAGTGGTAGTGGAGTGGTAACGATGGTGATAGTAATGGTAGTCGTAGAGGTGAAGTGGCAACAATGGTGGGTGGTGAGAGAGAGATGAGTGAGAGATAGAGAGACAGAGTCAGAGACAGAGTGATGAGTGAGAGAGAGACAGAGTGGTCGCTAAAAGTGCATTTTTTTATAATGAAGACCTCGGTAAATAGAGAAGAGAGGAATGAGAGAGTGAGCAAAGTGAACACAATAGGGGAAAGAAACAGACAGACATACATACAGAGAGAAAGAGAGAGAAGAGTGAGAGACAGAGAGACAGACATAGAGAGAGAAAGAGAGAAAGAAGAGTGATGAGTGAGAGAGAGACAAAGAGAGAAAGAGAGAGAGAGAAAAAGAAATAGAGACAGAGACAGAGAGAAACAAGAGATGAGTGAGAGATAGACAAAGAGAGAGAAAAAGAGAGACAGAGACAGAGAGAAACAAGAGATGGGTGAGAGATAGACAAAGAGAGAGAGAAAGAGAGCGAAAAGAGATGATCGAGAGAAAGACATAGAAAAAGAGAGAGATAGAAAGAAAAGAAATATGAGCAAGAGAGACAGAGAGAGAGAAGAGAGATAAGTGAGAGAGACAGAAAAAGAAAAAAGATGAGAGAGATAAAGAGATGAGAGATGAGCGAGAGACAAAGAGAAAGAGAGAGAGAGACAAAGAGAGAAAGAGATAGACAGTGAGAGACAAAAAAAAGACAGAGAAAGAGGAGAGATGAACGAGAGAGACAAAGAGAGAGATAGAGAGAAGAGAAATGAACGAGAGAGACACAGAGAGAAGAGAGATGAACGAGAGAGACAGAGAGAGAGATAGAGAGAAGTGAAATGAATGAGAGAGACACAGAGAGAAGAGAGATGAACGAGAAAGACAGAGAGAGAGATAGAGATAAGAGATATGAGCGAGAGAGACATAGAGAAAAGAGAGATGAGAGAGAGCGAGAGAAGAGAGATGAACAAGAGAGATAGAGAGAAGAGAGATGCACGAAATAGACAGAGAGAGAAAAGAGATGAGAGAAGAGATAAATGAGTGAAAAACACAGAGAGAGAGACAGACAGACAGAGAGAGAAGAGTGATGAGTAAGAGAGAGAAAGAGAATAGAGAGAGGAATATGAAAAAATGGGTGAAAAGAGACAGACAAAGAAAGAGAGAGAAAAAGAGATAACCGAGAGAGATACAGGAAGAGATGAGCCAGAGAGATAAAGAGAAGAGAAACAGTGAGAGATGAGAGAGATAAAGAGATGAGCGAGAGACATAAAGAGAGACAGACAGACAGACAGAGAAAAGTGATGAGTGAGAGAAAGAAAGAGAAACAGAGACAAAAACAGAGACACCGAGAGAAAGAGAGAGACAGACAGAGAAGAGTAACGAATGAGAGAGAGAGAAAGAGAAGAAAGACAGAGACACAGAGAGAAAGAGAGAGACAGACAGACAGAAAGAGAGAGAAAGAGTGATGAGTGAAAGCAAATTTTTATTTTTTATTTAGCGACTAAATTATTTTAGTTGCCAAAACTATCTATACAGCGATTAAAATATTTTTTAGTCGAAGAAATTAAATTTTTGCCGACCAAAATTTTGGTCGCCAAAGATAAAAAGTGAATTTTTATTTTTCATTCAGTTACTAAATTTTTTTAGTTGCCAAAACTATCTATACAACGACTAAAATATTTTTTTAGTCGCTGAAATTAAATTTTTGCCGACCAAAATTTTGGTCGCCAAAGTTAAAAAGTGAATTTTATTTTTCATTCAGTGACTAAATTATTTTAGTTGCCAAAACTATATATACAACGACTAAAATATTTTTTAGTAGCTGAAATTACATTTTTGCCGACCAAAATTTTGGTCGCCAAAGATAAAAAGTAAATTTTTGCTTTTCATTCAGCGACTAAATTATTTTAGTTGCCAAAACTATTTATACAGCGACTAAAATAGTTTTTAGTCGTTGAAATTACATTTTTTCTGACCAAAATTTTGGTCGCCAAAGATAAAAAGTTAATTTTTATTTTTTTTTCAGCGACTAAATTATTTTAGTTGCCAAAACTATATATATAGCGACCAAAATATTTTTTAGTCGCTGAAATTAAATTGTTGCCGACCAAACTTTTGGTCGCCAAAGATAAAAAATAAATTTTTATTTTACATTCAGCAACTAAATTATTTTAGTTGCCAAAACTATCTATACAGCAACTAAAATATTTTTTAGTCCATGAAATTAAATTTTTGCTGACCAAACTTTTGGTCGCCAAAGATAAACAATAAATTTTTATTTTTCATTCAGCGACTAAATTATTTTAGTTGCCAAAACTATCTATACAGCGACTAAAATATCTAAAATATTTTTTAGTCGCTGAAAATACATTTTTGCCGACCAAACTTTTGGTCACCAAAGATAAAAGTAAATTTTTGTTTTTCTTTCAGCGACTAAATTACTTTAGTTGCCAAAACTATCTATACAGCGACCAAAATATTTTTTAGCCACTGAAATTAAATTTTTGCCAACCAAACTTTTGGTCGCCAAAGATAAAAAGTAAATTTTTACTTTTCATTCAGCGACTAAATTATTTTAGTTGCCAAAACTATCTATACAGCGACTAAAATATTTTTTAGTCGCTGAAATTAAATGTTTGCAGACCAAACTTTTGGGCGCCAAAGATAAAAAGTAAATTTTTATTTTTCATTCAGCGACTAAATTATTTTAGTTGCCGCAACTATTTATACACTTTTAGTCGCTGAAATTACATTTTTGCCCACCAAAATTTTGGTCGCCAAAGATAAAAAGTAAATTTTTATTTTTCTTTCAGCGACTAAATTATTTTAGTTGCCAAAACTATCTATACAGCGACTAAAATATTTTTTTAGTCGCCAATTGTGGCAAATTTAGCGACTAAATTTTTTTTAGTAGCCAATTGTGAGATTTTTAGCGACTAAATTTTTTTTTAGTCGCCAAAAATTTATATACCCCGACTAAAAAAATTTTGTAGCTAAATATTATATTTTTACCGACTAACATAATTTTTGGTCGCCAATTCCACAACTTTTGGCAACCAAAATATTTTTAGTCGACAAAAGTGGTCGCAAAAACTGTGTTTTCTTGTAGTGCTCAATTGTCCCACTTTTTTTTATTTTTTATTGTTATTTTTATTTGTGTTTGAGTGTGACATAAAAGATCTTCGCCGATCTTCACAACTAGAAAAAGGGATGGAACATCCTTGAACAAAACATGCTGGGACTAATCTACTCAACCCATTAGTAGTTTGGTTTATACATGCATGTAATTGAATTAGCATAGTAGAGTCCTCATTATGTGTGTAGTTTTAATAATTGAATGAGAAAACGAAATGCACAAGAAGGGTTGGAATTTCTTGATAATGAAACCTGCTTTGGGTAAGCTTCAACCTTTATAGTACTGTATTATTATTAATAGCCCAAGAGGATTAGGATTTTTGGACGAGATTAAAAGAGCAACGGAAAATTGACATGCAAAATGTGAGAGAAAAAATACCATTGCTCATCAGACAAGGATGGATCTAAGAGGGGTGTGGGCAAGTGGTGCGGCACTCCCAATTTTTTTTAAAACTATATATATTATATTAATAATTAGTAAAATAATTTCAAACAGAAATAATTTAAACATCTAAAATTTAGTAGTTTGTACGTTCCAAATTATTTACATTACAAAATTTTAAAACAATTTTCAAATTGAGTTTTATCAAATATTGATTTATTCTATTTGTTATCTGTACTAGTTGTTATATTTCTATACTGTTAAAATTACTTGTATTCTTTTATTTGTTTCTATTTGTTACTATTCTTATTTTTTTATTCATGTCATTTATGTTTTTTTTTCTTCTTATTTTATAAATAACATTTTAATTTGCTTGTGCATCTTATTTTATATTCATTGTTATTTGTTCATTATCTAGAAATCGGAATGTTGTCAAGAAATAAAAATATTGTCTACTTCAACATACATGACATTTTTAAAGTAAGTTAATAAAATTTAATACCGCTTATTGAAACAGATTATCATTAATTATACTCATAAAACATACATTTCAATTATAATATTTTTTTAAACTAAACCACGTAATAAGATAGAAGATGATTTTGTAAC